CCCCAAAACCCCAAAACCCCAAAACCCCGTAGAGGATTTAAGCAATTGAAATTAGAAGGATGAAAATTAAGAGCTCAAGATTACGCCAATATACACCAGACCAAAAGCTAAGCGTTCAAGAGACCGAAAGGCCAATTCACGCTTGGGTCTTATAGGGACTTGTACCTTGGATTTAGCACATTTGAAGAATTTGGCTGGGATAGTAGAAAAAATTAGGGTGAAAATGAGTGGTTTTTATAAGCTGGATTGGGCATAAAATGTTCAATTTTAGGCCTAAGTCAATTTTTGGAGCTGGGCTTGGGATATTTAAGGACTTTTGATATGAGAAATATAAATGGAATCGAGCAAGAAGGGACTGAAGAGTATATTTACCACCATTCCTACTGTTATCAATGTGCTTCCTTACTTTGGCTATGCAGATAGTATGCATTGATTAATGATGGAGTTTAACAGTAAGTCAAGAAAGTTTTGGACAGAAGATATTTGCAAATGGAGCAGAGTGTTTTCAGAGTTTAAAAAATCAATCGGTCCAATTTTCCCTGAACAATTTGAGAAGATTCAAGGGTTTTGGCCAGAGATGCTCTTCAAATATTGATTCAGGATAAATTATGCATGCCAGGACGTGGAAAACTTGATCATGCAAATTAAGGAAAGCAGCCCAATTGAGATCGAAATGATAAAAATTGAGCAAGATGTATTTAGCCTACCACATTTTGATGTTAAAGAGAACAGCATTGGCAGAGAAATAAAGTATTATACATTTTATGAAGGAGAGAAAGATTTGTTTATAAAGAAACTTAAACTTCTATGTGAAGCTATAAATATCAGCCAAGAGAAGTTAGGAATGAACAAACTTGTAATCCAGTGTCAAGAGCTTGCTTATAATAGAGAGTTAAAGATCTACAACCTCCCAGAGCCATTTGTGATTACAGAAATATCATACCAAATAGGAGAAGTTTATATATTTGATTCTAGGATCAAGATTCCGATAGATGAGTTCATGCCAGCATTAAACAGAGTGCAGTTTGAATTCTTTCAAAAATGGATATATTATGTCAGTAGTTTGGAAGAACTAGAAGACTTCTTTGGTGAAGATCTTACTCGTCCCTTAAATAGGTTTCTCTTGACATCCACTCTTTACTTCTGGTGATGGGATAGACTTCAATTATCAAGCGGCATCAAAAAGCGAATGATTGAAGCATTAAAACTTGGATATACCAACCTGCAAGATATATACTTTAAGATAGAATGCGATATAAGATTAGCTGAATGGGGTTATTGGATTAACCAAATTGTTAAAATATTCCCAAACTGATATTTCGATTACGAAGGAGAAACATATATTCAACATCTTAATTACACCCTCAGCTGCTCGAGAGCAACTTTTGTCTTAGTCCAGGGCACGAAGAAAGTTATTTTCCACTTTGAAAATTGAACTATACGTGCAGGCGAACATTGGAACTTCGAATCGAAAGATACCATATCATTTTTAGAAAATTTCCATGCTCATGGAAAAATCATTTCAGTTGAAATTGATGAAGAACTATCAGAAGAAGACAACAAATATATTCTCTGAAGTGGACGTAGTGCAGAGGCCAGAGATTGCTCTTCTGGAATACCCAAACTTACAGTAATGATTGATAATGTGGAGAGTATTTGCTTAGTAAATAGATCTCCACTGATATGGTGTAAAGCGCTTAGATTCTGACTGTTGAACAGCGGTAGAATGTGAAGAAAACCAATTGCTTTTGAAGACCACTTTGCTTATAAGGCATATGATGGAATTTGTCAAAATTATGAAACACAAATGCTAGATTCATTGAGATTTAAAATGCAGTTTGTAAACTTAAATAAGATAAATCTATCATTTTCCAATATGAAAGAGGAGAACATGAAGATAATTGAGCATATTATTGAGGGCAACAAGAATCTTGTCTCAGCAAGTTTTATGATCTGTGATATCCTAGGGTTTAAAAGTAAAGACATACTCGAGAGATTTTGAAATATGATGAAGAAGCACAAGCATGTGATGTGGATGAACCTGAAATGATCCATAAAATTAAGAAGAAATCCTTTGAGAAAAACCAAGATAATCCCTATAGGGAGGACCTTTAGCTATGTAATTTCTTAATTCCAGAACTTATTATAATCTTTAATAACCCAACTGATCAAATTTATTCAATTTTTGTATCTATTTTTGGGGTTTTGGGGTTTTGGGGTTTTGGGG